CGTGTCAGTTTTCCTAGCGGGGGGGGACAGTTTGGCCGACACAGCCCCACCTAGTGGCCTCTGCCGGGAACAAACGGTGACCAGGTAAATGGATGATTCCAATGCTGTACAACGGACAACAAGGTGGCGGCACAAGACAGAAGCAGTAAAACCATTAAAATAAGGCAACTTTCAATGATCGTGTCCGTACTGAAGTCTTTTCTTTTTCCTCGTTTTTTATCATTTGGTTCTTTTAATAATTTCCCCCTCAATGTTCAGCCGTAAAGTAAATCTAATATATTTTAGTTAATTTTTAGCCCCTCGACAGAGCGCTGGGGGCTTTGCGGGTGGAAATATCAGTCGCTTGGTTTCAAACCACTTTGGTCCGGTTGGATGCGAGGAGCAGCTCGGCCTCTCCGGCTCCAGACGCTCAATCTTGTTCAAACTATTTCCAAAGTCTGCGATCTCTCTCCACATGCCGAGCAAAATAATAATCGTAAATCTGAGATCAGGGGGAGGAGTCAAACGTCTTTCAGCCAGCGACGATCGGAGAGAGCGGGTCCGCGTGGAAATGTAAGAAACTAAAAAAATAAAAGAAGAATTTCCAGGGTAGTAAATCACCACTGAACCGTCCACCGAGTGGACTGGCAATGATTTATAAAGAAAAATAAAATAAAGTGTTTGACACCCTTCTCCATTCCTTGTCTCATCAAGACAAAAAAAAAAAAGAAGGTATTTTTCTCTCAAAATCAGAACTAATTAATAAACCGTAGCCGTATTAATTATTTGTCTTCCTTATTTCTCATTCAGAAGTCGTTGTAGGGGTGTAAAAAAACTATTCTCATGCTTGAGTGAAGAACTGGACGCCCCCCCCCCCTCCCTCCCTCCCTCCCCCCCATGTGGCGCAGAGAGAACCGGCGACGAGCAGACGTGGTTGAGTTGATCCATGTGGGCCGGCGTGTTTCTTGGGCGTTACTTCAGTGTCTTGGCATCTGGTGCGGGGGCAGCGGCAGCGGCGGCGGCGGGGGCTTTCTGGCTGACGGGTTTGGCATCATCCTTGGCTGCGGGGCCCGGGGCGACGGGAGCGGGGCCGGGCCCGGGGCCCGAGCTGGCCTGGCTGTGGGGCCGGCTGGTGGGCTGAGAGGGGTGCCGGCGGCGACCGTCCCCGCTGGACGAGTGTCTCCTGCGGCCTCCTTCCTCCATCGGCGGCTGGAGGCAGAAACAACCAGGGCGGAGGTTAGAGCGAGAGACGTTTTCAAAGCACAGCTTTCAGAAACAAAAACACAGTCGGCTCCATCTACTAAACTAATGTGGTGTCCACACAGCAGTAGATGGCTTAGCTTCCATGCTAACCGCCATCTAAGTCACTGTAGGTAACACACACACACACCGACTATGGATATGGATATATGTAAATATTCATGTAGCAACGACGATCATGCAGAAACCTCCGTCGGGTCATGCTGGCAAACGCTGTTTGAAGCTTTGATGCTTAAACACAGGTACTGCTACAGTGTCTTTGAGTACCATGATAAGTGCTCTATCAATAAAATGTATTATTATTATTACTACTATTACTCAATAAGCTGAGGCATCTTTTCAGGGTTGCTTTTACAAACCCCAATAGGTTATTCCACTCACATCAATCCTGAAGTCTTCCAGACGTTTAAACTTGCTCAGGCACTCCTGCAGCTTGGGGTCTATCTCCAGGGTCTTGGTTTTGGCGTATTTAAGGAAGGCCCAGAACTTCTCCAGTCCATAAAGCTGGCCTGAGGAGAGACGGAAAGATGCTTTACCAGAAAACTCTGACATTTAAAACACCATAGAATTGCATTGTTATTTATTTCTCCTCTGATCAGTGCACACTGTGTGCCGTACATAGCGCAGGATTTCTCACCAGCCTCGTAGTCTTTCATCGTCTCCTCCTGGAAATCCTTAAAGATGTCCGGCCTGAACTTCCTCTCTAGACCGTAGCTGTAGTACCTGAACAGGCACTCCAATCCGTACCTGCAACACACACACGCAACAAGTTAAACTTATTAATACTGACTTTTATTCTAAAGACAGGACATATGTTGTTTTGATAACACAACTAAATATAAAATCCTGAGAGATCAGCGGTCGAGGCTCTCGTACCTGTATCCTTCTTTCCCATCCTCGACCACCAGCTGTCTGAACTCCTCGTACATCTTCCTGTTGAAGTGATCGCGCAGGAAAAACGACCAGAAGCGGAAGAGTGTGTTCATCTCCTGTGATTGGCCGATTCCCAGACGTTTTCGCTCTGTGATTGGTGGAGAGGAGAGCGAGAGAGATAAGGTTTACTCAAAAATACAAGACGGACAAAAAAACAACAAGACATCCAGTATGGGTTCACAATACTGCAGAATAGATTTCCGCTGATGTGAAGGAACAGAAAAAATGGTAAAGTAGAAGTAACCGTGTGTGTGTGTGTGTGTGTACCATTGAGGCAGCGCCGGCGGTACTTGTGGTAGACGTGTTGCGTGAAGCCGTTCTCCTTGAGCAGCTCGTGTGACGGGTGCTGGAACTTGGGGAGGGACTGAGGCGTGCAGCCAACGTTACCCAGGGCGGGGGTGCCCTCCGATGGGCTGGCAGTAGAGCTGGAGAGGGAGGAACGGTGGAGAGACGCAATCAAATACTAGAAGTACTTTGGTGACGTTAGTCCCAAAACCCGGTATCAAACGGTGCTAAACTATTAAAGACCAGACAGAGGAGTGATCACTGCGATCTTTATGGACTTTACTCAGGATTTATTTTATTGAAATTTTGTATTTGTTTCCAGTGAATGTAAACATTACTGTTGCTGCTCTGGAAACATTTAGCTATAATTAAAAAAATAAGTATCAATAAAGAACTGAGCCGGTAGTATTGATACCCATCCCTCATGGGCAAGATAAAGGTCCCTTTAATGGGTCGCATTTAATCCCTTAAAGACCAAAGTTAAGTCCTAAATGTAGTTTTTGCTGCTACACATCACTGATCAAAGGGTTTATTCAAATATCTCAAAGTGGCGATCGATTTTCCACTTTTTAAAATCCATTTAATTCCAGTTAGAATAAAACAAAATACACTTTCATCACCGATTAAAATGAAATATCGGAGGAGTTGTCAAAAGATAAACAGCATTACTAATTACCGTATTGACAACAGTATCAGCCGTGTTCTTTTCTGTAATCGTGTAACGTCCATTCAAAAAAAGAGCGAGAGCGAGAGCGAGAGCTCACCTGACGGAGGCCGTACGGGAGCGATGCTCTCTGGAGTCCATCACCCAGCCGACGTGACACTCCATGGGCGGGTTGGAGCTGTGTCGGGTCTTCCTCTTCCTGGGCGTCTGAGAGGATGCAGAGATATGTCACATGTTTAGTCTACACGTTTGGTCAGTGTGGTTTCTTTATCACCGAAAACCTTCAACCCATGGACCCCTTCGGCGGCCATCTTACCTTTGCGTCTACGGGTCGACTCTCCTTCACCACCGGGTAGAAGCGCGGCGTCATGGTCTGGTCCTTCCGGTGAGGCGTGCGGGGCGTGCGGGGCGTCCGGGCACTGCGGTAGTTGGGCGAGTCAGGCACGGTAGTCGGGAGCGAGCGAGCTATCGAGGAGGGCTCGGGGGCCCCGAAGAGTTTGTTCGCCAAAGCGTCTGTGGGGACTGAAGACGAGAGGGGAAGATATGGGTTACTAACTACTTTAAGACGAGGGCTGTCCGACACCAGAGGAATTCTTTGACTCTTCGATTAGTTGATTTAAATCAATAGATCTGTAAAAGTTTAAACATGGATTTATGTCTTTTTAAGATCCTTTTAATGCACGTTAGGATAAAAAACATTTGTTATTACTGAATAAACTGAATGAGCGAAATCCTTCTTCTACAGACTCTAAATACAGTATTGTACTGTATTATCTCTGGAATCTATGTTTAAAAAAAAATCACACAAGAGATATTATTTTTGAGTGGAGAATAACACAGGCTATGTGTTGCATTATGGGTAGTTTTTAAGTCTCAAAAGGACAGCAAGTTAATGATTAGAGGCCTAAAAAAAAGTAAAAATATCCAGATTTCACAAGAAACCCACAAATACCAGAGAAAGGTCAGAAAAAAATGCAGTTATTTGTGTCCTGTTGTTTTGTGATTAATCTCTGTATCCTGTGTAGGGTCAGTTTTAACTTCACCTCATGTCCTTTGTAAAGACAGAACGTCGATGTAAATACATCGTGTGAGTGTGTTTCATATCCGTGTCCTTACTCTGCTGGGGTTTGGGGGGCCCTGGAGGGACTTCCTGCTTGGGGTCGACCGGGGGTTCAGGGGTCAGGCAGTCGAACTCTTCGCGGCTGATCAGGTGGACCTTCTTGAAGTTCTCCACCTCTTGCTGTAAAACGGAGAAAAACAGGCGTTAATATGACGACAAAATATATACATTGAGAGTAAATAAAAATAAAACAACAATCTGGGACAAACGTTCAACGCGTGGATTCTCTACGGACCTGATCTGCAGTAATCTGGACATTGAGATGCAGCAGCAGAACATGGCTGCCAGAAACAACCTTTTCACCTTCATGTCTCTGACTGTTCTGACTCGAGTGAAACAACCAGCCGAGTTACAACTACACACAGAACCCTGAAGCTTCCACCAGCGGAGATGACAGATAACCAAACCGTCGCTGCTCGTCCTCCAACAGCAGCAGCTCAATTTAAAACCTCCCCGTAGACCGACGACGAGTCTGTATCACTGCCCTCGCACTCACACTGTCATTCCATCGAGCATCCTCAGATCTTTCAGCGTCCATCTTTGCCTCCCCCCCTGCGGCCCGTCGGCTACGATCCCTCAGGCCGAGGCCTCGTGCGTGGGGTGCATTTATAAACACGCGTCCCCCTGTTCCACACGCAGCTGGATGTGCGCCGAAGAGCACGTGAAGGTCCCCACAATGAGTTCAACAATGCTACAATGGCAACAAAAACCAAAACAAACAAATCTCTCTCTTCTGTGTCGGGTTTCCAGCTCTGAATCTACTCATCTGGTTTTGGGCAGAAACACCTCCAATCTGACAAAGAAGAACGTGACTGGAGTCGGGCTCTTCTGACAGCTTCCACGTAGCTGTCGGAAGAGCCCCGACTCCAGTCACGTTTCACTAAAGGTTGTTTTGTTTTAAGGGGGACCATGTGATCCCAAAACTCTCCACTAACACTCGGATACTGTAGGCGAGTCTTCATTATGTAATACATGGTGATGGTTCATGATGTTTGTTAAGACAAATTGTTTTCTGATCCACTAACATCTAAAAAGGACTTCATCTATTGGAAATGTTATCAGTTTACATGAAGCAAACCGTTTAAAGCGTTCATCTACGAGTATAAATAGGTTATAGTCTAAAAGTAGGGTGTATTTTGATAGAAAGGGTTAATATTGGCATGATTAAAGATCATGTTTTCATCAGCTGGGATGAGGTGTCTCACCGTTATGACGTTATGTTGGCATTTAAGAAGAGGAGCGGCTGTTTGACTTAGGCGAGTTAACTGAAGGAGAAAATTATATGCAATTAGTTTTGTATCCTCCTTTTTGTTTCCTTTGTAAACACGAAAGACAAATTTACTTTGGTAGAAGTTAAAATTATTAAAAACAGAAGTGTGTTTTCTCAACGGTGGTCCAGCAGTCTGGTTATTTTATCTCATTGTTGGAGCTATGGCTGAAGCTATGTGTAACATTTAATCAATATTATAATCATCCATTCTCAGACTGTATTAAAGCAACTTACCATCATATAACGGTTCATATCATATCTTAGGAAAAAATACTCGATTTTCACCAGAAATGTGTCAATTTACACTCGTTACACGCATACGGTCTTTTCAAAATAAACTTCCCTCTTCACAGGAAACTCACTTAGGAATATATTTAGGAAACGTATGCTAATTTCAGCAAACTTAGTTTGAGGAAAAGATCATGGTTTGAGTTGAAATAACCAGGGATGTGAAGTAAGAAATAACGAATGTTACGAGACAAAAGCATCAACGTTGACGTCTCGTTTCAAACAGGAAACTAACAGCCATCTCCTGGCTGATAGATCGCTGTTTGTTGGACCCATCCACCTCCAATCCCTCCTGCAACACATGCGCTTAAGCGGCCTTGAAACTTCCTTGTTCATGAATATGTGGCTAACATAAGAAAAAAATGTCGCGGGACATCTACGAATCACGGCACATTAACAGTTTTTAACTTCTGACAGTTTTGGAAACAAAGACTGTACTTTGGGTGTATTTTGAACGCTCGGCAGTAACGGTTAGAATCAAAACCATGAAGACAGGAGCTCACCTTGATGGTGGCGTACTCGGGCTCGTACGTGTCGTCCCACAGGTCCCGCTCGTAGTAGAACAGCCCGTCGCTGATCACCTTCACCAGCTCGTTGGTCAGCTTGGAGCGCGACGTGTGGTGTCCCGTGCGGTCTCCCCCCGGGTGCTTCCTCAGGTAGGGCGGCGTCTGCGTCACGATCAGGATCTTGTTGACGTCGTGGTCGTCGATCTCGCCATCCGTCTCCTCGTCCGACCAGTCTGTGAAGGTGTTGCGCCGCCCGTCCATCTGAAGCATCTCCTCGTCGAACATGAAGTCGAGCTCCTCGGGTTCGTCCGGCTCCGCTCCGTCCTGAAAGAAACAAAAGAAAGAAATTATTAGAAGATCGCCGTGTTTGAACAACATCGCCGAGTTTGAACAATTACCCAATTCAATTAGGGGAAATTATCAACAATGGTTGTGTTGTAGGTCAATTAATCATTTCTCTTCCTCACCTTATTCCCTGTGGTAGCCGGGGAGGGCGAGGAGCCGGGCTGAGGCACCGGGGAGCGATTCGAGTCGTCCTTTTCCTTCTGCTGCTGCAACGAGGGGGCCTTCATCAGCCAACCAGCACCGACCACGGAGGAGGAGGAGGAAGGGGGAGGAAGGAAGAATACCAACATGACAAGTTAAGTATAAGATGGGGACTGTCGTTTTCTTGTGCAAAAATAAAACATAAAATAGGCAAAAAGACTTCTTTACATCAGAAACAGGATTTTATTTGAATCTATTTTGTTTCTGCAGTGACACATTTTAAAATGTAATGATGAAGTCAATAATATTCTATTTAAAGGCACTTTTCTCTGACTTCCTAGTAAGTGGCCCACAATGCATCACGGTCAATGTAAAACGTAATGATCCAATGATCACATGGGGATGACTCACCTTCTCTGCGCTGATCTTGGGTCTGGCCGGGGAGGGTCTGGGCCTCTTCTTGACCTCGATCCAGCACTCAGAGTCCAGGTCGGGGAGGCTGGCGGAGAGGCCCTTGGGCATCGTCTTGAGGTTGGAGATGTCTAGTTCGGTCTTGCCGCGCTGCTTGGCCGGCGCGGACGACCTGGGAGAGCCTGCAGCAGACACACAGAGAGAACATTTTATATTGACTTGTTTTCAAAAGCAGTACACAAAATAAGGCAGAAAATCCAGAAAAAGTCCACTTTTCTCCTCATAGTTTTGACCCATTAACAGCAGATCAGACGGGTCACCTCTGGGCTCCTCGGTCGGCTGCCTCGGGACAAACTCGGGGCAGTTGATGAGCTGGGAGAAATCCGTGTGGGTTTGATTGAGCATGGCCAGGCCCGGCAGAGGCCACTTCTCCGGGTCCACCTTCCGGCGGATCTTCATGTCGATCACTTCCACTTCCTCGCTGTTCTTCAAAGCCTGAGGGGAGAGAGGACGGGCCGGTTAGTCTGTGCGATAACAAGGTTCTTGGACCGTCTCTGCGTAAAGGATCTCACTGACGTCAAAGGACATGAAGTGGTGTGTTTATGTTGTGTTAGTCTAATGGCTGGGAGGTGATTCAATATGATAATTTATCATCTTTCAATGGAATCATATCGTTATTAAATCATACATTCAGATCTTGAGAAACATAATTATGTTGTCTAAGTTGATAATAACAAATTTCTTAAATCTGATCAAACTATTGTCTGATTATTAGTATTTGTGTGCACGCACGTCAACAAAGTCAGTGTCTAAGCTGGAAATATGTATTTAAAAGTGCGATATAAATCGTCAACGAGATATTAAATGATCCACACGGTGGAGGAGGAAAGTAGTTCCCCCGAAAACCACAAGTTGTTTCTAAAAGTTTTCTTCTTGAAGGTGACTTTGGTGTTGTTGGTTTGCTTCAGTGCTGAGATCAGAGTTGTGAAAGTTCTCCTCATTGATTATTCAGAGAAGAGACATGAAGATCTCATCACGTCTGCAGCTTCAGTCGGATCCGTGTTTCTACTTTTATTGGGTTTAACAAAACAGCCTTCAGGCCTCGTGTTGACGTGATTTTGGCGTCTCATCACTTCACTTCCCCCCAAATCTTGACTCCAATCAAACCAGTTTTGACTCCATTAACCACATTGTCATCTCCCATCATGCTTACCTCCATGATGAGGTGGACGTCGGTGGTGAGAGCCTGAACTCTGTGGAAACTGGCGACGAGTCCGATGGGCAGGAAGCCCCCCTGGTCCATCTTCCTCCGCAGGAAGAAGTCTCGCTCCAGGTTGTCCAGACTGAAGTAGTACTCACTACAGGGGGGTGGGGGTGGGGGGGCAGAGAAACAAGGAAACGTATCAGCCGTTTGTTGCCGTTCCTTCACGGACTGAGACGCAAGTGAGACGAACGAATGTAAAAACACTGGAAACATTTTTGCATTGTTTTTTAATCGTGTGCCACATTGAACCGAATACCTTCCGAGGAACCACTAACCCCAACCAGAATATCTGATGGGGTCTCAAAGTCTCCGAGTAACTTGAGACAGACGAACTGAAGGGGGCACCGAGTGCACACGAGGAAACAGTTACGCTCCTTCTGTTGGGTGCCAAAAAAAAACTACTGTCTCAACACAGTGAAGTGTGTTGCTCAGCCAAACTGTGACTGCAGACCTGTTGTGGTTGGGTATGGGGCAGGATTTAAGAGTCATTTATTATCGTCTCCCTTTGTTGCTTCAGTGCTGAGATCAGAGTTGTGAACGTTCTCCTCATTGATTATTCAGAGAAGAGACATGAAGATCTCATCACGTCTACAGCTTAGAGATCTCACCCTGCACCACAGACGGAGAGACCAGGCCTTATATTCGATGCCATGAAGAAGAAGAAGCTGAACTCACATCTGCCTCTTGATGTAGTCCTTCAGCAGGTCGTGGTCGGCGGAGTAAAGGTCGCTGCTGCTCATGTTGTCGTAGTAGTAAGTCACCGTGTTGCCAAACTTCTGGGCGGAGGGTCCGTCCTTCGAGTCGTAGGACTTGTAGCCGTAGTGGTAGTCATAGTGGCCTTGACGGGACAGAAACAGAGAATTGGAACTGGTTAGTATTTGATGTTGGGAGTTAACCTCATGTATTATATTATACCACATTATGACTAATATAGCCGGGGGAATTTACACTCTGAATTGAGTTGCAAGTAGATAAATTACATCAATTTATTAAGCTTTGAGTCCAAACTTTCATTTGTTGAAACTTTTCACTCCTGTTTCACAAAAACAACAGCACAATTATGGCCAAAATCAGTTCAAATGTGATTCAAAGTTGCGGGAGAGACAGAATTAAACTGCGATCTGCAATCAAATTACCCCTTTCAGTACGGAGCAGAATATCAAATCTACACTAAGATATACAACAATCATCTACAATGGACAACGAATGGTATTCTAAAAAGTATAGAAGATCTATTACATACGCCTCCTGGATGATGCTCGAGGTTAAATTATATTAAGAAAAACATAAAAAATGTCATAAAGAAATGACATTAAAAGAGCAACAGTAGCCACTGAAAGATGTGTGTGTGTATATTCTAGTTTGCGGGAACACACACACACACACACATGCGAGAGCCGACTAAACACACAAAGACAAAGTTCATCTGCTCAGCATCATCTGACCGTTTCTTCAGCGCTGCTGAGAGTCAACAACGGGTCTTCGAGGAGGCAGCAGGACGGAACTGGACCTAACAAGACGGTCACACTCGTTTCATCCTCCGGGGTTTCAATCTTTGTTTTCTCTCACTTTTCTTTCCTCTTATAAAATCTTAAAAAAAAAAGGTAGCAGTGCTCTCTCTACTTCAGTCTGTCGAAGGAGGGTAAGGAAGGGATGTGTATGAAAAGAGTGAATAACAGAGAGAGAGAGAAAGAGAAAGAGAGAGAGAGAGAGAGAGAGAGAGAGAAAGAGAAAGAGAGAGAGAGAGAAAGAGAAAGAGAAAGAGAAAGAGAGAGAGAAAGCTGACAAAACCAACAGGCCTTGGGGGGGGGGGGCAAACCTGCTTCTCTAGCTAGTCCAACGGGTCTTTTCCTCATTCCTAAACTCACTGGTTGTTATTGCACTCTTTTGGGGGGTTTTCACTGAAGCCTCAGTGGGGCCAGTTTAGGGTAACCTCCACCCGGTTTGAGAGCGGAAAGAAAAACCTGTAAAACGTTCTGTAAAGATCGTCTGGACACTATCAAGTTGAGGCTTTATAGCACTCTCATCGCTAATTAATTATGGAGCAACAGTCTGGAGTTGATGAGCTAGAACAAGTTATATCTTGTTTGTTTAACGCTTTAAAAAAAGACGATCGTTTGCATAATCCTGTTTAAATTTTGCTCTAAAATAAAAAAATCATAACAGCTAGAGCGTTGGTTCTTTCTGCTTCCGTCATTACTTTAGATCACGTGTGTTACGTAACATAATGAATCTATCAACACCTTTAAAATAAGCATTCAGTTTCTAAAAGGTTTCTTCTTGAAGGTGACTTTGGTGTTGTTGGTTTGCTTCAGTGCTGAGATCAGAGTTGTGAAAGTTCTCCTCATTGATTATTCAGAGAAGAGACATGAAGATCTCATCACGTCTACAGCTTCAGCTTCAGTCGGATCCGTGTTCCTACTTTTACACAACAGGAGCTTTTATTTTGTGATTAAGTCGCACATGAATATATTTTGTTCGAACTGCTGTTTTAATCATGAATGCTTTACAATATTACACCGCCAAAAAATAGTGTTTCCCGATATTTCTGAGCTTTTGTGCTGCAACTAAAAGGAGTCAAAAAACACACTACAGTGTTCAATAACACCGAGGCTCGATAGACTGAACCAGAACCTTGACGAAGGAAGCGCAGACCAGATGCAGTCCTTCCATTCTTACCTTTCACAATAAAAGCCCTAGACATATACACAATGTGTAACTGTGTACCAGAGAGATCTGAGATTCACTCAGAGAGTTTGACTAAAGGGAAACTTATTAGGATATCTTACAGTAGTGTTAGGCTACACAACAGTTTACCTCAGAGCGACTGCATGAAGCCGCTCTGGGTCAATAGGATCCATGTCGTCCTCTGCCTGCAAGAATCCATTCAAACCTTTTCTTGATAAAGTCGAGCAACTTTTGCAATCCCGCAATGCTGCCAGTATAAATGGTTTTGGTGAGGAGAAATTCAGTATTACGCATTATTGTGTCTTTATTTTCGGTATGTAAAGGCAACATTGTGTCATTTGACGTTCGTGTAGCACAAACTCCGAACCTTTTATTGAAAAAGTGTTTCAACTATTGCAAGTTTGCTATCAATCTATCAATATCCCTACATTAACATTTTGCATTTCTGTGTCGTTTATTCAGTACACCCCAGTTGTATAAAAGGCCTTTTTTGTGCTTATAAGACCGTGTTGCCTTTTTATCTTGTGCATCAGTTTGCATATACTGTCTCAATGTCACTATGAATACTGGTGAGGAACTGAACTGGTACTAAAAAAGGTTTCCGGTGGTGACACAGTGTCACACACACACAAACATCACAGTGTCTCACACACACACACACACACACACACACCAAATATTACCAAACTAAATTCAAGTCACAAGATTAGCTGTTGACCATTCTGCATTACTGTGGTCCATCATGTGCTGTAATGACATCTCACACACACACACACACACACACACACACACACACACACACACACACACACACACTAAATCTTCACCAGTGCCAGTATTGTTAACGGAAGCAAAAAAAGAGGCCGATGATAAGAAAAAAAAAAGTTCTATTTTTAAAACTTTTCAAAAAACTTCACATTAATTTCTATGCTCGTCTTTCTATTGGAGGAAACAAACACACACGTACCTCTGCCACCTCGGCCTCGCCCCCGGCCTCTTCCTCTTCCACGCCCGCGACCCCTGAACCCTCCGCGGAACGGCGCTCCCTCGCTCTTCACGCTGGACACCTCGTCGTGGTCGTCGCGCCACTCCCGCTCGTACTTTTGACTGTGCCAGTCTGCAGTGGGGGGGGAACCAACACACCTTCCCGTTAGCACACAAACACACCATCACACTGAACAAGTGGGGACAAAACTAATATATAAAGGGAATTTGTGGGATTATTATCGTTACTTTTAACTTCAAATCTCACGCAAACAAACAGATCCAACGTCCTCTTGGACGGCCACACATTTCACTTCCTCAGTGAATATAAGAAACACGTTCTTCATACTGTACATTCAAACAGCGGAGCTATCAAAGCAGAAGTAGATTAGTAGGAGCTCGTCAGTCCACATCCTGCTGCTGAGTCATGCACGCCGTCTCCTCCGGCTAAATGCAGTAATGATAGCTCGACAGCTACAGATGTAGCAACACAGACGCACATCCAGTAAAGCCGCTGTCACAAGTCCAACAGCGTAACTGCTGCTGGTAACTCGTGGTATTTAAAGCTCAACGTTAAAGCAGCTTGGTGGGATTTCTTTGTCTGACCTCTGAGGTCGTTCCTGGCGTTGGGAGGCAGGCGGGGGTTTTCGTTCTGCCTGCTGTTGTTCCTGGAGGCCGAGCGCTCCCGGGGACCCTCCGACTTCACCTCGATCATCAGGGGAACCCACTTCTGCTTGTTTCCTGTTCGGTACGAGACGGAGAGGCGGCGCAGTTAGAAAACATTTTGTCATTTAGGCCTGAAATCATCTTTAAAGTCTGTCATTGTGGTTTTAGTAACTAAGATTTCTTCAGACGATTTGTCGTTTTTTTTATGCTGAATTACTCATTTTGAAGAAATGTATAAACGCATATCTTTTTGTGTGATTCTTTGTGGAGAAAGTTTTACAGATCGGTCATTAAATCAAATAAATGAATAGTCAACTAAAGAATCGTGTGTTGGTCAACTTAAGAATTTCTTTGGTTGCGGACTGAAAGACGTCTGCTAAAACCTTTCTACTCACTAATGAAGAAATAAACAAACAAAGTAAACCTTCACTGGAATGAACTGTGATCGTTACTGCTGATTATTTTATTGGTGAACCAGTCTGCTGCAGTACCTCAGGCAGCCTGCAGGCAGCATCAGCGATCTACTGTTTAGAGCAACATCTGGCTGTGTGTGTATGGCCGAGTGTGTGTGTGTGTGGCCGAGTGTGTGACAGATAACAGATGCAATGGGGGAGAGGAAATGCCAGTTTTAGGAGACGTGGCCCTGTATCTGCTGACTGAGTAGGTAAGAGGAGGAGGGAGAGATTAGAAGGTGTAAAATACTCATTGAATAAATATCAAAAGCAGCTCACTACACTTCACATTCTGAGGATCTTTTGACAGCAGCAACGCAGGAGATCAGCTCGTGGAACAGGACGATGACGGAGCAAAATGTTGGAGCGACATTGTTGATCGATAGAGCAGTTACTCAAAGTGCTTACTACTTAACGTCACACAACAGCCCGACGTCCTAAATCCTAGAGTCAGTCAGGGGAGGGGCTGTTCATTTAGGGTTTAAATGGGGCTTAATGTGACTAGCATGAGTGTGTTGTTGGTTTGCTTCAGTGCTGAGATCAGAGTTGTGAAAGTTCTCCTCATTGATTATTCAGAGAAGAGACATGAAGATCTCATCACGTCTACAGCACGTCTGCAGCTTCAGTCACACACACACACACACAAGCAGGTTTGGTTATATTGAAACCAGTGTGGTTTAAGTGTGGTCCATAAAGACTGAACAAGGCCTTTGCCTGTTTGGATGCTAACATTAGCACATGCTACTGTTCAGCATCTATCGATTTTTGCCATTTTTCCACATTCACCTTTTTTCTTGGGTCCGTTCTTCTGGGAGTCATCGTCTCCGTTCTTCTCCTCTCCGGAGTCGTCCGACTTGGCCTTCAGGTTCTCCTTGCTCTCCTCGTTGCTCTCCCTCTTCTCCTTCGACTCCTTCTTGACCGCCGCCGCCGTCGTCGTCGCCGCCGCCGTCGTCGCCGTCGTCTTCTTCGGAGCCTGAAGAGAGAAAAAAAACAACAAAAGAAACGAGTTCAGACGTTTAGAGAAAGAGCAGCAGAAACCGTTCGCTCCCATCAAAAGGAGACTGAAGACCTATTCAAACAAAATGAAGAGTTACGGTAACTTGGTTATTTCCTGATTCAGCAAAGTGGAATCTGAAAATATTAAGTTGGTTAAACACGTACAAGATAACAGTCAAATAATAGACTGTTTGCTTAACCTCTCCACTCAATCCTAGCAGGCAACATCTAAAGCTATGCTAGTTATGTCAAACTCTGGAGCTCTGCTGAGAGAGACCTTTGGTATCCAAAGAGTCTGAAGGACGCTTGAGACACCAGACGTCATTCACAATGACGTCCGGTATGTAGCCTACAAAATGCACATTTAAGAAACTTAAAACGAGTCAGCTGAACAGAGTTAACGTCAGATTAATTAGCTAGCTTGCTACAGGCGATAAAAGCAACTAGCGGTTGTCGTTTCAGCCAGCTAGAGGAGGGGCTGTTTCATCCAAGTCTGGGAAATCAACTGGTCGTTTAAAAAAAAATTATAATTAAAAAGTTTCGATTAAATCTGCATAGCAACAGTACCGAGGGAAAGGACGACTGGATGTTTTCTAGATGGTTAGCGTAGATTTGTAAGAACCGTTGGAGCAACAGCCTTACTGTTGATTGATAGAGCGATTACTCAAAGTCACACAACAGCCCGACGTCCTAAATCCTAGAGTCAGTCAGGGGAGGGGCTGTTCATTTAGGGTTTAAATGGGGCTTAATGTGACTAGCATGAGTGTGTTGTTGGTTTGCTTCAGTGCTGAGATCAGAGTTGTGAAAGTTCTCCTCATTGATTATTCAGAGAAGAGACATGAAGATCTCATCACGTCTGCAGCTTCAGTCACACACACGCAAGCAGGTTTGGTTATATTGATTTAAATATAACACTTAGACTGGATATTAAATATTAAAATATATTGAAGGAATGTGCAGCGGAGATCTATCCAAACCTTTACGATTCGAGGACGGTCCCTAAACTTCACCGTCTCGTGAGAATTTAGCAAGTCGAGGGTTGCCGTCTAGACACGACCGAAATATACCAGCATTCATTCACATATTCAACAATACACAAGCTAACTAGAGGGATAAACTGATATTAGTACATAGAAAGTTCCATTCAGGGAACAATAAAGTGAGCGGGACAAAGAGGTCTTTGCATGTGGTTTAGATGTTTCTTTAGTCCGCTCTCATCACAATGTCCGAGTTCAACCGCTGTCCTCCAACCAAGCCTGAGCTAACCACGCAGTAACGAACACAGTCCACCATACACGCACCGCCTTATCTTCTTCTCACAGAGCCGATACCGGAGTTTATTCAAATAAAAACAGAGCTCGGCTACGACAGCTCAGCTATCAGCGACTCACACGCAGATATCTGCAAAGGTTGCAAAAAAGGAGGCATGCAAAGTGTTTGACTCGGGAGGTTGACACATTTCAAGCCCCAAAACCATCGCGTCCACAAACACACACACACACACACACACACACACACACACACACACACACACGCTCAGCCTTCAAGGTATCATATTGCTAAACAACCTAATCACACTGAACACAAACGATCCACTCCAAACAGGCACCGTAGTTCTTAACAACAGTTTGTCTCACCATACATAAAAGCAGCAAAGGAGGCACGAGCAACTCTGTCACGCAAAATAATGACCTTTATGAAATGTACCAATTTTAAAAAGGATTGTGATTGTGGAGAAATGGATTGAGAAGCCGAAGGAGCACATTTCCAAATCAAACTAAAAGCAAGCGTTGTACTTCTGATCTTTGCCCTCTTTACTGTTGGTCGCCTGCGGGGCTAATAGTGTGTGAAACGACGTGCTGGGGCTTTAATTTAAAGCTCTTAAATACTTTCCACCCGAGAGGGAAAAGGAGGATCCACCCGAGGCTACATATCAATGGAACCAACAATTACATGTTGTGTTGTTTATGTATATTATTCACAACACTGTTTGGATTGTCCCTTTCGGACGAGGAATGAGCGACGTTGCCGGCTTCTGTTAAAGTGATGGCTTTCTGTCGTCGGTGACGGTTTTGTGAATGTTTGTTGAATTTGGGCATTATGGGACAGATAGAGACAGATCCACAGTGCATGTCTGATACTTAGATACACCAGCTTCATTGTTTGTTAAATAGTGACTCTTGCTGCCTATTTATAATGTCTGACTTAATCTAATTCATAAGTGATCACATGCTGAATGTTACGTGGTTTTCTGGACGTCAAAACTAAACAACATGGTTTAAGTGCCGTTTGTTTTCCCCTCTTTTAGCCCACGACGAGGGGAATGAATCATTTCATCAGACTGAAAATCAGAAAATCTTTCTATAATTTGCCATCACATTTGCATAACTAAGTGGTTCTTTAGAGTAGCAGGAGGATGCTGTTGTGGCACAAACATTTACATTAAACAGGGTGGAGGAGGAGTTGTATTTTGAAACTGTTTTTCTTGTGTCTGAATCTCAAGTTTTGTGTTTAGCAATATATTGATATGCTGATATTGCGATAGGACACTAGATATCGTCTTACATTCTAAATATTGTAATATCGTATAATAGTCTATTTCTTGTTTTAGTCATCAAATCCACATCACTGATTATTTATCAAAAATCTCCACGTGTAAATCTATTTAGCAACCGACTCTGACATCGTTTGACGTCTCTTTCTTTGTGTGGTGTTGACTTTTTAGTTCTTTGTTGTTTGAACTTGTTCGGGGTTTCACAGGCTGCAGGTTGAACTTACAGTGAATCTCCACGAGTCTCTGACCTGCCTGACAGTCGGCGGGCAGGACTCGGTCCGTGTCACTGCCTCGATCTGAACAGAGGGAGGGAAGAGCAGTTTAGAGAAGACAATGAGGTGGACCGTGATGTGCACACACACACACACACACACACACACACACACACACACACACAGTATGAAGAAACAACTGGCATGGAAGTGGTTAAAAATGGACGTGAGTGTGGAGTCTTAAACCTTCAATGTTTGGGGACTTTTTCAGGCCCTAAAGTGAATTTACAAGTCCTTCTAAGCCCCCGACATTATAATCTGGTTATTTTCAAATGCTTGCCTCTTTAAAAGCTCTTCTGTGTTGTTGTGTGCTCCAACAACAACAACAACAACAACAACGCCAGGGCCATACGCTTCATCCTGCTGCCATCAAACACAATGAAAATGCCAAATGGATGGTGCACACACTGTGGATAATAAGAAGCATCTGCTGCGTCTACAGTCCACTGAGCTCCCTCTGGGTTTCTACAAAGTACATCCCACATCATCTCAGCGGCTAAATGGCTAATGCTGTGTCACTAAATGAAGACGGGCACGCATTGTTGTTGCGCTTTATCGCTTTGGATTCTGCACAAATGGGAATACGGGACGATTACTTTCAGTGAGGACAGAGAGGTGTGAAATGAGCCGTTCAGAGCAGACGCCTGTGTTTAAAGCTCAGGTGTGTTCTCTGAATCAATGAAGACGTGTGGCGCAGAGGAAATGGCAACAGTAATGCTGAGATTAGACGGATGCTGATTCATTCAGGAAACCACTGACGGTGCTTCTGCGACGGTTAATTTCATCACCGAAAGTGAAAGACTCTCGGACACGACGGCTGTGGTGTGTAAACCACCAAACAACGCAAGAAAACCACCACTATGCTGACAAACTTCTCACTCAGGACACAAAACAGACGAGATGGGGTGAAGACAACTCAACACACACACACACACACACACACACACACACACAAGCAGAAGCAACACACACGGTGCTTGTGTGACGTTCTTCCAGGAGGATTGTAGGCAAAGAGGGGCTCTTACTTATTAAGGTTGCACATTCTACGCGTACAAACCACTGAAATACCCGTCTGATCATCGGTGCAGAAGGCAATGGTTTTATTGTAAAGACAATTTCTACAACTTCTAATTTATTGGTGTAGATCGTGCTTAATTTGCTCACAATGCATATTTGCATCTCAGTTTACCAGCAGTGTACGAAAGTTCTGTTTTGTTGTTTAAAAAAATAAAATTGGAAAAAAGCTAATTTTACTTCCATGAGTTTAGGAAATTACATTGTATTAAAATAGACTTAATGAATTAGAACATCTTCTTTAAAAGCATCACTTCACCGTTTGCATAATTGTTTTCATCTTCTAATTATTTTCTCGATTCATCACTTCATCTATAAAATGTGAGAAAATAGTGGCCAAGGTTTCGTAAATGTCTTGATTTGTCCGATCAGTCTAAAACCCAAAGTTATTAAGACGACATTTAAGAGGTTGCAACCAGTAAAACCACCAAAATAATAATAAGACACAAAAATCAAATCAAATAGTTGTTGCAGCTTTAATTATAACGGCAACAGCCCGTGGTGTTCGTTCAGCAGACCAAACTCAAAAATATTCAATTTACAAAGATAAAAACAGAGAAAATCAACACATCATCATATCCGAGTCGCTGACGATGACCAACACGGTGGTCAAAAGTGATTTTCTGTTGATAAACTAGTCTATAAGCTGCGTATCCCTTAAATTTCTGCTCCCAACACAAAACAGTTTGTGGTGCTTTAAAAGGCACACGCGCAAAATTAATTTAAAAGTTACAGAAATCAAGGTTTTATTGCATGAAATCTGCAATCAAAAAGCCTAACCCTTTATCAAATGTCAATGTCTGTTTCCCAGCCTGCATAATCAAAGAATTCAGCCTCTGATTTACAGCTTTAAATGTTACGTGGTGCACAGTGAACTCCAGCCCCCTAAGAATAGCACCAGCAGCGCTGATCCAAGGGGGGGTTTACTGAAGGGGGGGATCCCTAAAAGGACATCCCTTCCCAGGCCTTGGTCACCGTCTCCTAACTCCTCCCACCCATGATTCCTTGCCACCGGAGCCACCGGTTATTCCTGGCTCTTGGTGATGTGACTCACATTGTACTGCCTCCCCTCCCTCTCTCCCTCAGACCTGGGGAGGTTACCGGGATCGTTCCCCTCCGCTGACACACTATCGCCCCGAGATCAGAAATAGAAAACGATGGATTACTGCTGCTACTGTAAGGCGACACAAATTGGACGCATCCCATGTCGGACCAACAGCATAAGTTTAAGAGGGTAAGGGGGTCAGTACGTTGTGTGCTGGAGGTCTAGACTGTATATGTAGAGCTTGGAGCAAAACATGTTGAAGGCCGAAGACCTTTGATTTCACGTGTTTCCTCATCTCAACCTGATGCTCTGAACGTTGGTCCGGCTACTTTAGATCTTGTCTTTGGAGGAAAATGCTTATTAGTTTGAGTCACATTTAAGTCTCTTATTCTTCTCAGTCTTGTTTTTGTCGACGACGACGACGACTCAAAACATTCTCGTCAAAACGTTTTCTCACTTAATTTTGTCAGCTATTTCTATTATTTAGTCTTAGTCCTGTGTTTTAAATGAGTTTATATTGAATATTATAGTCAATATAGTCCAGACAAAACAATCATTTTGTAATTTTTGTCAAACTTATTTCCTTACCTGATGAAAAAAAACAAACAGGTTGAGTAATTACGTGTGCAGCTTTGTAGGGATGAGCTTTTAAAGCGAAAACTATTCGGTCATACTCCGAAGACAGCCATCTTTGTTTTGCCTCCCTAAATGTCCATGGTGGTGAGCATATACAACTCAACCCCCTTAAAAAAACCAAGATAAACATCCAGTCTTGAGGACACAAAGTCAGGCCAACAGAAGCAGACTGCTTTGTCTGAAAGTGCTTCTTAGCTGCTGTGTAATTACAGCCACAACCACTGAAATACCCATAATATAAAGCTGAGCTGAGCTGAGCGGCTTCCTCCGATTGGTTGCTGAAGATTATAATTTTGGACTAGTGAGATTCTCTTTGTATAGAACACCTCACTCTGTGTTGACACCCGTGTTGATTTAGTCTTTTAAAGCTCCTTTCCTCCGGTAACCACTAAAAACCAGGTAGCTTTCTACCTCTACCTGCTCGCAGTAATCACTTCCTGACATCATATCAACAAACGTCTCGTTTGAACTTAAATCTGTATGAAAGCACCAAGTCATGCACCCAATACAGTCACGTTATTACTGCCGACGTATTAGGTCAAAATTATCAGAATTTATGCTGTTACGAAACAAAAATTCCAGGTATGAAAAGTAAAGCAAATGCTGCATGTCTTAAATTTGCATTCTCTCTAGTGTCCACCAGGGGGCAACTCCTCTGGTTGTATAGAAGTCTATGAGAAAATGACTCTACTTCTCTCTTGATTTATTACCTCAGTAAACATTGTAAACATGAGTTTATGGTCTCAATCTCTAGTTTCAAGTCTTCTTCAATACAGCATGATGTTCATTTATTACATTATGGTCCAATTAGAATCAAATAGAGCATAAAGCAGGGAATGCTTTAGGGCAGGGCTTACTGTGATTGACAGGTCGCTACAGCTGCGTTTTCCGGTCTGTGAGTTGTCCATGTTTTTGTCTTACAACTTTAACCCTTTCACGGTGTGTTATCAGTTCATGAAAGTTAATTGAAAGCTTTTCGGTCGCATAAAAATGTCTTAGTCAGCATTCGATAGTACTTAGCTCCACCCTCTCGTGTCACTTCTGGTTGCAAAAAAACCAAGATGGCGACGGCCACAAACCTAGATGGTGATGCTGAAAAACTGCCAAACTCGAGGCTTCAAAACTAAAACTGCAGTCCACAAACCGACGGGTGTCATCACGGTGACTGTTAACACTTCCTATATAAAGTCTATGGCGTCCGGTTGGTATTGGTTCCTATTGTCCAATCACTTAAAGACACAGTGAAACAAAAAATACATTTTCGCGTCCCCGTCCGGCTGGCACAACAGAGAAGAAGTAGTAGTTGGCAGTAACATTCTCAGATCTCAGGCTCCTTTAGCACCACTGAAACAAACTTGTATAAAAGAAAGATGCGCAAGTAAACATGAGAATCAAAAAAAAGGAGCTCGAGACATGGCAGCCCTCTTCTGCGCCATCTAACAAAGATCAGCAGTTGTGAAACCCTTCAGTGTTCAAAGAAGCTCACAGACGACGCCCTTTTCTGACCGACCTGCGACTCAACGCTTTTCAAAAACAAACACCACCCACCTGCATGTCTTTAGTTGCGATCTCTCCGGGTGTTGGCCAGCTGTTGGCATCGCCAAAATCTCCAACCTGAGCAAAAAAAAGTGAAATACAACAAAGCAGAATTAGCAGGAGAGCCAAAGAGAACTGGTACACTGAGATGTTAGAGCAGGTTAGTGATGAAGAGAGGAGACTAGAGTCAGAGCGGCACACTACTACTTCTACAGACAAAAAGCTTGTGAGCGAGTGCAAACAAAAGATTATCAGCAGTAACGCTCAAATTCTCATTGGTGTTAAAAACCCAAAACAAACAGATTAGATTAACAAATTTATGTATATTCAAATGTCTGCATGACCTCTTGGTGAAAACCTGTTCTGCATGGCATGAAAGCAAAACACACTCTGTATGTGTCGTTAGGTAAAACATTTCATTTCACAGCTAGAAAATCCAACTTATGCTACATCCAAACTACTACGTTTCCATTTTAAAACGCGTGTTTATAACGGTGTTATCAGCCCTACGGTCCGTCTGAAGTCACTGCTCGTGGCTTTGAGGAAGGCGACGGACACTTTCCTTATTAATGCTTATTTTGTTCTGCACAACTATTGTGAAGTCCACACAGAAACTGTAAACGAACAAAAGCATAAATGTTCTCCAGTACGACAGAGAATTCAGCCATCGGCAGAGCTACGAGTGTGAGAACGACACCGAGAAGAAACGAGTGAGAGACGTGTGCCGACCATATTTATTGACCCATAATCTAGTAAACTTTGATTTGTAAGTTTTCATTTTAAAGTAAATTAAGTGAAGTAAAAGCTTCTAAAACTTTCCACAAAATGTGTCCGTTTGAGTTTATAGAGGAAGCGCTTAAGTATCAAGCACTACCGTTTATCATTAAAGGACACTCCAATCTACTTCCTGTTTACACCGGCACCCGCATGCCCGGTATACGTGAATAGTCACGTGATATTCTTTTTCAGGCTTGCTAGTGTGGACGGTATTCCTTACACAAACGATGCTGTAACGCCTGTGTGGACGGAGATCGTTTTTAGTTTTAAAATCCCCGGTTTTGAACGAATACGTAGTGGTGTGGACATGGCCACAATCACCATAAGCCATGTGTTGCCTGTGATGTGTCAATTTCTGTCCTTTGTTTCTGCAACGCAGCACTTAACGGCAGGGCGTCATAAATAGTTTCTGGTCAAGGTGTTGTAAACAACCCTGGAGTGTAGCAGCCTGCATTCCGAGGTAGGAAGTTGTGAATGAAACGCTTTGGGGAGGGTCTGTCTGGTGCATCTGCAGGGCTAGTGGCTCACCAGGAACTCACATTTGCATTCCAAGAAGTGTGAAGAGAGGTTTGTACACAGCCCGAGGCGCTCCGACTGCACACATCTCCACTAAGCTCTGAAGAAGCTCTCAACTAACCAAGATGTTCTGTAATATGATTTGTTAGACTGAAATAGCATTTCCTTTTATTTGTTATTAAAGGACCGTTGACTTAATTTCTACATGTTTGATCAGAATTTCTCTCTTTAAAAAGGACCAAATAGTTCTTCAATAAAACTAATGATCCCTTAAAAGCATCAATATAATGTTTAAAAAAAAAAAAAAAAAAAAAAAAAAGTGATTGTAATTCTATATTACAAAAGCAAATTCAATACTTTGCATGTTGACAAGAAGAAGCTTCGATTATGACTCATCAAATTGGGCCGACGTTGAAGTTGGGGAACTCTTCTCTTTCCAATTTATTCTGCCTTCAGTATTCAACCCCAGAAGCTCCGTACTTTAAGGTGCTTTGTTAGTACTGCTAGTTCCTATGAATTCTTTACATTCTTCAATGGATAATCTCATTATTGTTGCTATCAAGCAGTATTTTCTCACACAAACACACACACATGCAGAACGTTACCTTTCCTCCACGTCTGGGTTTCGGGGGGTTCCCCGCTCGCACCACCTTGGCCGGGCCGGTAGACTCTGTGGAAACACACATGAAGACGGTCGACATTACAACCGGCTCTGCAAACATCAACACAGAAAATGACGACTAAACACAACAGAGCTTGTCACAGTTAAATTAGTCTCATTAGTCTTATCTACCTGTTGCAGGTATGCTCTTAATAAATCATCTGCCTTTCTTTGGCTCTTTCCTCAGATCTCCGTTACGTAACATTCAGCTGTGGCTTCAGATAAACTGAACTGAAACCGCAGAAGCCAGTGCATCATTGTTTTCTGCCCCGTCATTATTAGAACCAGGTATCATTTGAAAACACAATAAAGCTCAGAACCTGCAGAACCACCAAAAAAACACAATCAGATCCTGAGCACAGTGACTCGACACTGGGAAACTCATGAAGCAGACGTCCAGGGATCACAGACGCATCAGTGCGGCCAAACGGCAGAAACCGAGCAAGTAAACCAGTCGGATGGATGACAAATATGCGTTCATGGAAGCAATTCACAATGTAATTCCATAAAAAGTGATTTATCGATTCATTATTTAGTCGATAAATTGAGTACAACGCTGGTCACAGCTCCCAGAGATCAAATGAATCGTTTTGTTTGACCAACGATCCAAAAACCAAAAGTGACAGAAAAACAGAAAATATTATCCTTTAAACATTATACCATTTGTGGTTAAATGACCCCTGTCAGCACTAACATTTTCCCCGTTTGCATGTTTGTGTATAATTTGGCCTGGCAGCTAACGTTTGCACCCGTTAAACATACACCGTAGTGTTTATTTAACTCATTCCTGTTAGCCACCAATGTAGCATCTGCTAATCTTCTCAAGCCAAACACACTTGCTCAGTTCCACAGAAGATTGTTTTAAAAAGGTTCATCTTGGTATGCGAGTAAACAACAATCAGTCATCTTGAGTTAGACCACAGCGGGATAAAATGAAGCTAGAAAAAGATTCCCAAAACACAGTTTTCCTCATGAAAACAATGAATAATTGAGCAGTCCTGGTCGTTCCTCCGTATTCAATTGTCGCTCATGAATCTTCATTAAAAACAAAACAAACCTCCTGAAGTCAGAGATCTTTGGACAGCTCACCGGGAGACTTCGCTGAGCCGGTTTGGCCAGAGAGAAAACCTCAGTAAGCTCCTTAAGGAGGATGATGTCGAGGGACGACGCCAGAAAGACAGCGAGAGGAGGGAATAGAATCCTCTGGTGGATTACCAACTATCACCAACCAACACGTACCAGGGAGTCTCTACAAACATAACCAGCACAGGTTTCAAGTTTGTGCGGCAAAACAGGAACATTTTCAACAGAGAAACATTTAAGAGAAGCCACTCTTCAGCACAGACTCTGGAGCTACAAAAAGCTTTTTTCTCCACAGTTGTACCTCGGTTAAACGCACAACAGCTCCACTTCAGAGACGGTTCTCGTTACCAACGGTGTGAACCTGTCGTCGTCCTTTGACTCGTCAGATATGCGACGCATGTCGTTTCCCCTTACACGACTTCTGAACTTTAAACTTACAACTGTTTGTTTAGTTTTCCCTTGAAGCTTCCTGACGCGATTGTTTTGGACTTTGCTTCGTTTTCGTTAAACTGTGTCTTGTGTCCTCCGGAGATTTTTTAACAGACGCTTTTTTGCTGGCAGGAAGATTTGTTCCAAACAGTACAAAGTTCGAGGAAAGAATCACAGAGAGGAGATAACAATCTGATGACAATCATATAAACTGAGCCCACAACAGGGTGAGGTGTCCCTTACTGTTACAACACTAAGACATACCGTATATCTACATCATATGAAAGGATTAGTCTTCAACATGACGGAAAGTTCTCTCCACAGGTCTGTGCACAGTGCTGCTTCGCTCGCCCTTTAGACGGTCCTACTCTGAAGACTAGAAAAGGAAATGAGAATATTGTGTAAAACTAAATCACAGCTGAGGTTCACAGACGGACAGTGATGGTGAAATATTTACAACTCATCCAACTTCAAATAAGTACGTGCGTGATCATTAATTACACCACTCATCAAAGCCAGAAACAGAAATGGTCGTTGTACTGGAACAAATCGGTTGTTACAAACGTTTACGTCAGGAGACAATAACCAAATCTAACCTTCAAATTAACCGACATATTTTAATCCAAATCACTTCATTCACGTCTCGTTTAAAACCCGTAGAAAACGTTAAATTCTGCGCAACCATGAATGAAAAATGCATTTAGTTCAATATGTAAAGCATGTGGAGCTCACATTGTTTTCAATATTGCAACAGTTGTGGACACGTGATGAAAATGTGTATAGATTACATTTTTCCCCATTTTGTAAAATAAAGTCAGCTCACTTTTTTAAAATGATTCATAGCCTTATAACCTTTATTCTGCACAGAAGACATGTTTGAGTTCTCTCTACCAGCCATGACTGTGCTGCTTCCACAGAGGTGAAGGAACGAGGCCACGTTGAGTAAAATGGGACCGGAGCAAAATAAAAACTGCTCGTCCATGACGCAGTTTCGCACATTATTTTGCAGAAGCAGTCGTCTTGCCATGACTGCTGCTAATCGCTCCTTTAAATCTGGTCTATAAAAATAGTTTTATTACATAGTGAACTAAATCAAACACTGAAATGGCTGAACTTCTCAACCTGCCTACAGTTTACTGTGGAATAATAAAAGCTTCTTATGAAACGGTGACGTTTCCAGCGGTTAACTCAACGGCTCACAAAAAGTTAGCCCAGCAGTCAGCTGATTATCCTAAATCACCAACGACCGGTTCAACAAAACTCCAGACCCAGATTCAGGATCACAGCCGGGGTTCAGACGGTTTTCTACAAACATCACCTGTCGAATTAAGATAAACCTTAAAACCAGCCGGGGAGACGACAACCACAACAAATGTATCCGTTACTATTCAAACTCATCAGCTAAATGTGTCATTTTAATTTGAATAATGCAGGAGAATTATGGGATAGACACGTCAGCTTTAAACGCAGCGAATCAGTATTAATGTTTATTATTAATCACCTGTATAGGAAGGGTTAGCCCATGTTCCAACCTTCCACCCTGTTGCAACAGAATAGAAAAATGACAGAAAACATCCCAAATATCTGATAATGCTTCAAGCATTCTTCACCTTCCACTGACTTGTGACACAACCGTTTGTTGAGCGACCTTTGACCCTCTTTAGAGGGAGTTGTACACCTTCGCTGGAACTACGTGACCCATATGTGGGTCACCTAAACTCTTCACAGAACGGCACAAACTCCCGGTCGCCTCTAATTCGCCTGACGTAGAAACTTTAGCCGGCGCGACAACTCGGTTGCTAAATTAAGCCGAGGAATTCCTCAAGTATTTATCTGCTTACTACGCACAGAAAGAGTGAACAACTTTAGTCTGAAAGTTTGCAAATGTCACACTGCTGCTGCTGCTTTTAAAAGCATGACGGAGCATGTTTCACAACACAAACACACACAACACACACACTGGTGTGTTACCACCAGACTTGTCCAACAGAGCTCATCACTGCGGCCTTTTTTAATGCCTATAAGTGGGGCAATTGATCAAGTCTTTCTGCTTAGTCGTCATTAAAGAGCACTTTGACAGGCTTTCAGAACAACTGTCAGGAGGGAGATTATCGTTTCTACATCATTTCCATATAATAACTTTTAATTTATTAGTGTTGCAGACCTGAAAATGTTCATCTCACTCATTTAATCAGCTTTAAAACACTTTTTAATGGGTGGATTGTGATGAAATTAGTTTCAGCCATTCACGGCTCCCTCGCAATGAATTACAGTAAATTTGGAGATTATCTGATTTCTTTTTTAATTTGTCACATACATTAAATACATGACATTTGACTTGGGGGTTCAGTGTCTGGTTAAAAAGGACACTTTGACATGCTGACGGGGAATCAAACCGCCAACCTCGAGTTTAAAGGACGACCACAGTCGCCCCAAATACGTGCAGAACTAACAACATCCCCATCGGTCTGAGCTGGTCTTGTTATGTTAGCATGCTAACACACCAAGCTAAGATGGTGGACGTGGTTAACATGAAACATGCTAACCATTAGCCTGTTAGCATTTAGCTTGAGCACGACCTCACAGAGCCGCTGTCATGACTGTAGACTTGTTTAATTAGACAAAATGAAGATAAATGAAAAGACGGAATAACAATATGGAGATTACGATACCACCATTCAAATATTATTATTGCGTTGTCACATTAGTAGTTGCACAAAGCAAGTTTTTATGAGTTATTACTTGTTAAGAAAGCAGGTTATATAAACATGAAGTACTTCCTCTGATTTAGAGGTAAAATATGTGAAATTGATCCCAAAAATAAGGGACCGTGACATTCTGACATTTTACAGACCAAATAATCGTCATTCGCAGTGAAGCGGTTAGTCTTTGGTCCGTTCGTATAATCCAGTTTGCTTCAGATCCTTTGAAACATCTGAACACAGAAACGCCATCATCGTGTTCGAAAGTGACCATTAATTGAATTTTGGCGCCCGTCGACATCCGCAACTGAGTGGACAGACGGCGTTTGTTCCACGATGAACGGCAGGTTGTTTTTATTTGAATCAGCTGATCCGAGCACTCCTAACCCCGGCGACGCGTCACTCACAGGGCCGCTCAGTGTTCGCTGCATATCAGATGATAGTTGAAGGTCAGAGGAGAGCCTCTCAAAAGGCCAACACTGTGAAGCTGCTGCAGGCAGTCACACAGTCAACAGTGCGTTCAGAGAACACGGCAGCATTTAAACGCCTTTTAAGATTTTGACTTTTTCATGTAATTCATGCGATGATTTATTGCCCCTTTTGATGTTGCCGTGATCCCTCAACCTTTTTATGATATTTAGTACTTCCAACGCTTCACACTTTATTGAAGAAATGACTTTCTACTACAGCAGCTAATAAATAAAATAGAATAACTGGAGATCACACGTGGGATCTCAACACCCATCTTCAAACCCGACATTCATTTTGATCTCGACTACAACTCTGAAGTTCACC